TTAATCTGTTAATAAAATAATCTTAGTATTCGATGATTGATACATTTTATATCAAGATTTCATCACACTTCATGAATACTTATGAAACAGTAAGGGTTTAGTGAAATAATGAAGTTGAACATCTCTTGTCAGTTTATCAACTCAAAATTTAATGATTTATATTATTCAGAAGAAATCAGGTTTATACTTCTGTCTTAGGTCTGAAATCTAGAACTCAAACTTGTTTTCGCCTCAGTTTTTATTATGAATAATTTATTGGATGCTGCATCGATTCGAACTTTGTAACTTCACTGAAGGATGTAAAATCTCTTGGAATTCTAACCTGAGACACAATGTCACTTCTCAAACTCCTAGTTCTAAATAACTTTAGTTAATGTTAATACATTTACCTAGGAGATTGATTAATTTATCTTCAGACATATAAATGCTCTCCATTTTTAATGTAATTACAAAGTTAAAATATACCGTCCAGTATATTGTTAGCTAATAATATACACTTTTCTATTGACTAGGACTGGATTTGTGGTTTTATGACGACAATAACTGAATAAAACTGGGACAAAACATTCACGATCCAATTTTCGATACATGATATTGAGCTATTGCATTCTTGGATAAAACATAATGACTGGAATAAAAACCATAGTCATTTTAGCTAATACGTTAATATTCTCAATCAAGTGAATTCTTATTCTGAAGTTATTGTGTCAAATTATCTCATAATCTCTATTCTTATTCATTATTTTCGTGGATAAAACACAAAACAGTCTACTAGTCAAAGCTTCTTTAGCCCAATTCTAATAACATTGTTCTATGAAGGTCTGAGATAAAAAAGTTTGTCAGAAAGGGGTTTTTGTGAAGATTTTAGTAATTTAATAGTTGAGTTCATGACTCAATTGAAGCTAGACCATCACGGAAAACGTGGAAGCACTGGAAGGCCGTTTTGTTCTAGTATGGGATTACTCAACAGTGCGCACTACATTTTAAACTTCTATGTAGCAGAAAGTACTAATAATAAACACTGAAGTTCATTCGTTGACACATTTTATTCTGCTTTTCTATCTAAATTTCGGCTAATTATCTTCACAGAAAACTATCTAAAAACCTATTTAAAATTACTCTATAAATTACAGTTTCTTTCCACTTGAGTTTGATTATATGGTCCATATCATTCAAAATAAATGGAATTGATAGACAATTGTTTTGAATCTTACAATCAAAACTAGGATGGTATTGCTATGTGATATGAAAAGAATTGTGACCAAAGAAGTAAAGCTTGAGTAATTCACTCAAAGAATGATTGAATTACCTACATTAATGGACCATTAAAAGACAATGTCATTTATTGTGATAGAAATATTTCAGTCAAAATGAATGAAATTCAGTTGGAACAAACACTGTAGATTTTTCGTTCGCAGCTTATAACTGATTTTGTTGTTAACCTAACTAATCAATAAAGATGTTTTACAGGTTTAATATACTTATGAAGGTTTAAACAATCAAATAGACTACAACTGAACTCTTTGCCAATATACTACTAAGTGTGTTACATTAAACCTTTTATGAAATAGATATGAATTCATTTCTTTTAAAAATAATGATATCCGTTGAATTTTCCAAGTAGTTTATTTTTACATTCAAGATGTGTGAGTGAGATAGTAGGAAAATTCTGTAAGTCGTAAGCCAAAAACAACCTAGCGTATATGTGAATTAGTTCAAATTGCCATACCACCTCTGTGCAATTAGATGCCAAAATTAGTGGAAGTAGTAACTATTATAGTGTTAGTAGAAAGCATTAAGTATAAAAGATGTGATTCGGGAACAAAACATACTTATTAAGATGACCAGAGGAGTGTTGATTTAAAAGAAGACAAAAATTGGATGCACCTTATCTATTGTGAATGATTCTATGCCATGTCACCAAAAGTGTTTATAAGATCTTAATCAATTAACACTTAAAATTGTATATAATAGATAGAATACTTAGTTTGATATTGATCAAATCGACACCTTCAATTTAGGGTGAAAGACAGATTCGTTATGAAATGTAATTAAAAATGCTGATTATTTTACTGAAGCAGGAACTACTTGTAATGAAATGTAGGAAGTATTTTACGGAATCATAGTTCTATACTTGTGGAAAAACTAGTAAATAGAAATCAAAAGCCCAAAACAATTCAGCGATGAATCTAAACAGAGAGGCAAGGATACTTTATCCAAAATACAGTTACCGAATCATGCGTGTAGTTAAAGATTGTTGAGTTGTATATCACCTAATCGGAATAAATTTTAACAAATGAAAACAGATTCATGTTCTTTGAAAAACGTAAACTGTATAAAAGAGTTGATAATTCATAGGATGAATAAAAAATGATATGCTAGAACGTAAATCAAACTCAGATATGAGCGATTTTAGCTTATTGAGACCATAGTTTATAGATACGGCTGGAAATCAAATTAAATATATATGCTGATGAAAAGTGAACAATTGTTCATTTATGATAGTTTTAAGAGACCTTTATTGTGTTGAAACTAATATAATGTCTAGAAACATTGAACGCCAGATAGTAAAGAACGGAGTTTTTGATTTGGGGTTGCTCGGAAGTGGACACTCATCTTTCAATATATATATATATATATATATATATATATATATATATATATATATATATATATGAGGCTAAACTAAAAATGTTACTGTAAATAAGCAAATCAAAAACTATTTGTTAGAAAATTATCAGGAAAAAAATCGGCCATTAATTGACCAATGGGAGTTGTTACAATTCAAATATAAGAAACCCACCTTGTCATAATATGAATGAGTTACTTAAAACCATTATGCTTGTTTATGATGATTCACATTATGAATATTTAAATATTTGTCATCTATGTAAGTTTAGGCTTATTTCAATTCACAAAATGTTTATAGACTAAATAAATGTTGTAAACAATAGGTTTAATATACATGATTTATTCTACATAAAAAGGAATTCCCATTCGATTACAATTGATGGTTGAAGAAGTAAAACAGTTTCAACACCTTAATTATCTTTATTACAACATCCCAGTTCTTTTAAAAACATTTTTTCACTTTTCAAATTTAAAGTGCTATATATGACATATAATGAGTAGTGTGAATCGTTTTCAAATAATACATAGTTTAGCGAAAGTACCTAATTTAAGTGTTACAATGTGTTGAAAATACTTTAGTATTAAGTGCTCGTAATTTTTACGTTATTTTTAGTCTAGACTACTATTGATTATTTTATGTTACCGTGTGTACATTCTAAGAGTATCGATTTGATAAACGGTTGTACAAATAATTTGACAAGAAACTTTGCCCTGTTACTTTAAGTATCAATGGTTTGTTTAATATACAGAAAAGTAAGCATGTAAGTTCTTTGATGAGTATCATAAAATATCTATATTAATAATCGAAATTCTATTTCAAATTTATATATATAGTTATATAATAATAGTTAACAAATCATAACTCACTTCAAGATTTTTGAGATAATCCGTCAACTGAACTGTTTCAATACCAGCTTGACTAGTCATTGTATTGTGTTGTGATTGAGAAGAGTTCAATGACTATTGTAATATTAATGATTTGATGTCAATCAATATCACAGTACACTAAAAAGGCACTAATTGGTTGACAGTTATTGTTGTTTTAATGTTTTACGTTTCGTATTTATTGTTTTCAGAATAAAAGGATAAATTCGATAGTTTTCAAAAATTACACAATAAATGAATCAATGATAAAGTGTTTTTTTGTTTGTTGTCTTTTGAAAGTTGTTGAAGTAGATTTCTTCAATTATTATAGAGGAGAAACAAAACAAATTTGAAATTTCCTCATCTTCAATAAACTATAAATGTTTATATTATAATAAATATATTTATTTATATACTCATAGAAATTTGTAAGGGTACATGTATAGGTGAATAGATTTACACACACATACACACACAGAGATACCAATGAACATATATACTTCTACACAATAATAACGAAATAATAACAGTAATATCAATTTCTGTTCTCTAAATTAACTTGGACATAAAGAAAACAAATAATGATGAATATTCAGCCAAGATAGTCTATATGATCTTTGGAGAAATTTCTTAGTTTCTATGTGTAATGTATAATGTGTATGAGCACAGTAATTATTATTATTATTATTAGCAGTAGTAATAATAATAATTCTAGTAGAATTCTAAAGTATGTTAATAATCAATCAACGCAATGAAAACGAAAATATAACCGAATTAGATAATGCGTTGCTGAATCTAATTGTTAACTTATAACTATTGAGAATATATGGATTACATAAAATAAGAAATTTAACTAATGTTTATGACTGGATGAGTTAGAATTTCACAAATTTCACTAATAAACCAATCAATTACTTGGAAATTCACTCATTTTGTTTCTCATTTTTCTCTTCATTATTGTTGTTTTGTAAGTGTCTTAAAAAGAAAAAAAATCAAAACGTTTTGTGCTAGTTGGATAAAATTATAATCGATAAGAAAAATTTCATTTTAGTATAGACATATGATACAATGAAACAAACTCAATTGTATACAACGAAAATTTTGCATACGTTCGTTGTGTGCTTGTGCTTGTGTGTGTGTATGTGTGTGTTCAAATTGTGCATATACTATATATACTTGCATAAAGACATACATATACAAATGAGTTGAATAACAAATTTATTCAAGATACTATGCAGTTATGAGTAAACGTTTATTTGATTTTGAAAAATACTTTATTTCATTGATTTACAAGTTTCAAAAAACGTTCTCTTCTCCAACAGTTTCATTCTTTTGTCCTGATATATATGTTTATATAGCAACTTACAAACTGCACTGAATAATAAGACAGTTAACTTTGGCACATATAATCACTTTTTTTTCTTGAAACATTATAGTGTAAATTTACATAGTTTGTGCATCATACTATTGTAATAGATTGTGCATCTATACTTATGTGCCTAATTGTAGTGTAATATTTGTATTGTTCTGAATACAGGTTCAGTAGTAAAATAGTAATGATATAGATTTGAGTTGTAAATTTGAATCATGATCTGAATTCATAGGTTTTTGGACTTGTAAATACATAGGTATATACATAGGTACAGATCTATACTCAGCAAAACACTAAGTCTAGGGTCAATAGTGAAAAAATTAGCATACACTGATTCAGTTCATTGATTATTACATTTTCATTGAAGAAATGCATAAAATTTTAAACAAATTATTTGTAGGCTGTAAGTTATTGTCTATCTTTCTTAGTTCAATTTTTATATGCTAATTTATATCGGTTACTGATTTATATTTTATTACTTATCTATACAAAGTGTAAAATAGATAAATTACTTTGTAACGGTACTGGGTTCGAGTCCCAGATTGAATATCAAAGCTGAGGTGCAGGTACATCCAATTGACGACTCCCAAATAGGACGAAACGAGAGTCCTGGATTCCACTGCTACCCACTATTCATCTTTGTTTATTACCTTATAATTAGTTGATTTTTACTATGTACCATGATCTCTTGAGAAAACAATTATGTTATACGAATTCATTGTTCTGTTATATTAACGATGCTCATTGATAAAAAGTGAATAAGATAAAATATTTTCAGTTTGTTGTTTTATTCATCTTTTCTCTGGACAATATGTCAATCTAGAATGTAAATTATTTTCCATTCAACTGGTTACCATCAAATAATAAACTGTGAGGTTTCGATTTGGAAAACAATTTGAATGTTATAAAAGTCGTCGTCGTGATCGTGTTTTGAGGTTAATAAATCTTCACTTATACCAATCTTTATGTCCTTACTTTCGCGTCGTGAAAATCGCTAAGGTCCCTCGTTTCGAGTATAAGTGATAAGCGTTTCCGGCACAATAATCAGCGACGACCAGATATAAGAAGTAGCATTCGAACAACACGACATATCAGTATCGACGGGGTGTAAAAAAATTAGCATTTAAAGAGCCAAGACCATCAGCATTCAATTGACAAGTTATGACAGAGATTATACCCATGTTTAGGGAATTAACATTTTCATAATGTAGTTGAATAAACCAATAACATTATTTACAAATCAAATGACAACAAACTGATAAGTAATAATATAGTGTACATCAGTTTCCATCATTATTGTACTTGGAAGTAAATTGAAGAAATCAACTGAATTTTGCAAATGAGAATAAACATTATATGGCTAAATGTCAATAACTTATTTAATGTACATTATCAGTAAGCATCTTTTCACATATGTACGTATGAAGTTTATTTAAATATAAGTAATTCAATGGATGAAATAGACAGACGATTGATTTGATTGTTGTTAGCTGTTCTGTATTACAGATAATAAAGTGTTATGATTTTATAAATCTGACAGACTGCTAATTATGTTTTATTGTGAATATTCGACTCCTTTTTTTATCACGGCATAATACTAATTTGGAATTAGGATTGATTTACAAAAGTTGTAAAAATTAACAAAGGTAATCAGAAAGGGGTCTTATGAATATTATAGTAATTTAATAGTTGAATTCATGAGTCGATTAAAGCTAGACCACCATAGAAAACCTGAAACCACTAAACGACCATTTCGTCCTAGTGCGGGACTCCTTAGTAGTGCACATCCATGATTATGCTTCGCGAGGTTCGAACCCAGGACCTATCGGTCCCACGCTCGAACGCTCAAACTCTAGACCATTTAGCCGGCCGTCATTCAACGTGTTTATGTCTAGCTTCAATCAATCCACGAAATTGCGCCAAATAAGTTTAGAAACAATCAATTTATCGAATTTACTTGTAGATACCTTATATATCACTTGTACGAAAATAAAAAAAATGAAAAATAAGGTTCTTTTTAACCTTACATATGTTAATTTAATCTACGACTATTGTCATTCATAAATGAATTAAACATGACTTGCAATTGTTAATTTTTTATCAGCAAACAACATTGTTTAAGGGTAAGTTACTTATTTTTTGTAGAATTCGGTAAACTCATTTTTAGTTTTAAAACACATTTTCAATTTTTATGTTATGCCTTAATTTAAATTCGCATACCATAAACTATAAATCATTTTGTATGGAAAACTCAATTGAACAAAATAGGCTGTCCTGGAGTCAAACTTAATCAATTCTGAGGAAATTAAGAAACAAAGTATTTGTTTTGTTCAAAACAGAAGAGGATCTGAAAATCACTCAGATAATATGCAAATATTGATCAAAAGGAAAAGTAAGTAAATAGATTGACTTAATTAAAGGAAGTGTTACTCATTATGGGTAGCCTTTTGCCTTTTTTTCAACACTGTAACATTTGAATAATAGATTGTAAGAGTGTTGGAATTCGATTTTTACAATTATAATACTATAATCCAGTCAATAAACATATGAATAGACTGAACATTGATGACAAGAACCGATAGTTGTGTACTTATTTCAATAGAACATCACGGTGGATACTATTACGCCTTAGCGCGGTACATAACAATACTTGGTTAATGACTTCGTAAATCACTCTTCTATTATTTATTTTATTATAAACGACCAGAGAAAAACTAGTTTTTAGTTATGTAAAAAATATTGTAAACTAACTACATGGTAATCTGAGCAGGTTATTTAAAAAAACTGTAACGACTAGTCATTCCCATACCGTTTCATCTGGCTGAAGAATTGTGATGACTCAGATTTCAATATCAAATATTACTGTCCTACTTCAATTTGTGTATCTCCTGATTTGTTCAATAAGATTTTGTTGATGTATTGAGGTTACATAGTATTAAGTTTTTTCCAGTTCTAATCATCTTGATTTGAAACGAATAAACTTAATCTGGTCATTATGCTGTAATGAAATTACAACCTGTGCATGGTTGTCAATCACACAATATATAATTATCGATTTGAATAAAAAAAAGAAATTACTTAGTGAAGTTTTTTTAATTAAGGCGTAATATAGGAAATCAATGAGCTGAAAGCATTTACATCTAACAAACTTTCTTCTATCTATTATTAATTCTTGCACATGCTTTTGCAGAAAGGTATGGACTAAATGAAGGCCTAATTAGTAAATCATGTTATGTAAAATCGATTATTGGATTGATAGTTAACAAGGACCACTTGGTTATCAACAACTTGAATTTCATAATGATTAACTAATATTTTAACGAATTGTATTTATAATAAAACATTTATTTCATTTTATTTATTAATTTTAGATTTCAGTGAAAAATTAGAGCAACTAGAGGTTTGGAATAGATCTCATTACTTAACAAACGTAATGTACAAAATTAACGGAAACCTAACTAAGAAATGAATATAGTTATAAGTGGCAACCAGAAGAACTCTTGTAATAATATGATTCTGTTCTAAAGTGATCCTAGCCGACGCCTGTTTGACTAACATTCAAGAACAATGTAAATGACCTATATTTTATTAAATGAAGATATAACTGTAATAAAAGCTATCAGAGTTCATAAGAATAATTATTATGCACCTTCAAATTTTCATTTTGATATAACAATCAATTTAACTTGATAAGATACTTATGAGTAATAGGTTTGATCACAACCAAATACGGAACTACAAAATTTGTTTCGACGAATAGAAACCTTGAAACACAAGGACAATGTGGAAATCAATATAGATCTTTTCTGTGTCATTATCGAGAAATAACACATTCGGAGATATGGCCAATGAATTAACAATCTACAAACTAGCATCAGTCAATATACTAACGAAAATCAACAGAAGATTAGATCATTTGCAAATGAAGAATGTCTTAGTAATCATAAAGTGACATTTCAAACAGTATGCAAAAAATGTCTCTTAAATCAGTTCGTTCCACTGAATCAGTGGCTTTTAAATGTAAAAATTCTATTTCTAGCGGTGCTTGAACAATGTAATGTACAAAACTGTCTAAATATATTATGAGCAATACCAGATAATTTGCAATAATTGTAGGTTTCGATACGGTTCAAACAAACAATATTCAATTGAGAAACTTTGAGGCTAATAAAAATAACCATGTAACCATTTTTAAATAGAGAAATACTCTTTTGGAAAGGTTTGACAGTTACTTATGTGCTCTGATTATTATCATATTAAAGTCAATGTTAATCAGGAGATTTGTCAGGATTGATTAAGTCTATCAATTAGCTAAAATAAAAAGTCATAATTAGGATACTACCATACAATGAAATCGGTATATTTATATTGACAGTAGTAACCACCAAATAAATAAATAGTCAGATGATTAAATACAAATTATAATTGTTAGTACAAGAATTTCATTTCTTGTTTGTTTAATTCTGTAAGTTGACTTTCATTTGAACATTAACTTTATGGTATTTTCTTGTTTGGAGATTACTTTAGTTTCTGAGACATGGCTTCGAGAACATTATCATCATAATTTATAGATTTTATAAAAATCAATGAGTGAATCATTGCAATACTGTCTAATAGTCGTCTTTCAACAAAATTTAAATTAGATATAGAGCTTTCTGATTCACAATAATAACTTAATGATGTAAAACTATCGAAATATTTGTGATATCCAAAAGGGTATTAAACAAACCATTTTGTCCTATTATCTGATGTTATTTGTCAATTTCAATAATTGTCATTCCTTTGACTTTTACGTAATTTCTGTATTATTATTTGACATATCTATAGAGTCCTTTTACATCATAATCTATAGTTAGAGAAGTTATCTTTTAAGTAGATTACTGGCAAAAATATTAAGGTCAATAAGTTAAATTAAACATCTTTAAAAAAGTATAATCATTAATTTTGAACACTGTTGTTAATTTTCAACATTGAGGAAAATTTCCGTAAATTTCAAAGTGTCTAAACAAATTTTTTTCGTGGATTGATTGAAGTTAGACATTAATACCGTTAAGTCGTTAAGCGCTCGCGCGTGAGACTGATATCTCCTGGGTTCGAATCTCGCGAGAGGGGTGGGGTCGTGGATGAGCACTTCTGAGAAGTCCCACACTTGGACGAAACAGCCATCCAGTGCTTCCAGGTTTTGCATGGTGGTCTAGCTTCAATTAACTCATGATTTCGACTATTGAAAATTTTTCAATTTGGATTAGAATAGAAAGTTGTAAGCTTCTATCTTGCTTGGTAACAAAATGAATAAAAATAGAATTTTGTATTAAAAAAAATAATTTTAATTCATTAATTAGTACTTTAATTCAATAAAATTTATTTTAATTAAAGATTTCAATATTTCTTAATCATTATTATTCAATAAATAGATAATTCATTTCATTATCACGTGAATGTGTTAATTCATCAATTTTCAAAGTAAAGTTCGTCGTCTTTAAGTTCCATTTACAATAACATTCAGTTTGATCAAAATGTTTGATTATATTTAACTTGAATTATCTCAACAATATATATATATATATATATATATATATATATATATATATATATATATATGAAGGCCTTATTGGCTTATTACGTTTATAAATCACTAAATTATAAATGAGCCTATATAAATTTGGAAGATTAGATGGGTATATCAAATAATTGCGGAGTATAGACAGCGAACTTACGCATAGATATTTTTAAAACTAAATTAATCCTTTTTTTTAAAATATCTAACCAATTTAATTATATTTCTGATTACGATATAGTAGTTAGTTACAGGAGTGATGTTTCGGTTTACTTGAGATTCATCAGTTGAATCGGCTTGAATCCTTATGTTGATGGTCAAGTCTGGATTTAAACTTTATACTGATCAATTTGAAAGGGTAAAAAGTTGGATAATAGGTTAACAACGAATTTAGTTAGTACAAAATTTATAAGTAGTTATAAGCGCTTCTATTCTCCTCCTAATAATATTCAGAATTAAATTCCACTTCTAGTCATTGATCAAAATATATTCAATTAATAAATATTGGCAAAATGATTTGTAGAAGTTATATGCCATGAAACAGTGTGCTCTCTAATTGTAAATTATTTTATCATGATCATTTTTACAAAACAAAATGACACTGAATACAGTTGGTAAATTTGATGAAAGGTGTTTACCGCAACCGTTTACATTTGTAATGAAAGTACTCAAAACTTTAGCAACTTATATATTTTAGCAGACTTTATTGATTTCTTTAAAGCAATTTATTAAAATATTCCAGAAATATGAGAAATGTTCTTTTAAATAAATAAATGATTTGTGTTATGTTCCTTCAGTTCAACTCAACTTAAATCAGATGGTATGCATCAATGAACAGTTAATACGTGCTTATATTGCAAAATGATGGAGGAAGTTATCATTGTCAAAGATGGACTGTGGCTAGCAGTGGAATCCAGGACGCACGTTTCGTCCTATTCGGGGCTCGTTAGCTGAAAGTACCTGCAACTCAGGGTTAGTGTTTACTCCGGGACTCGAACGAATGTACCGTTCGCTTCAAACGCCATCGCGTTATCTACTTAGACACTGGGTCCTGATATCCGTTTTTGCTTATAAAGCTTGTAAATTAAAGTAATATCGAGGTGATTCATATAGGATGCACATATGCCAACAAAAGACTGCTCAATTGTAGTCCTACACTCATCAGCAAACTGTACCTCAGTTCCCTCAAGATTACAGATACATCTTGCTGACAAGTGCCAAATAGCACGAAGCCTATGTCCAGGGTTTCCTGTTGACTACCTCCAACCACTGTCTTCTTCTACTTGTATAAATATCACAGTCTGATATAACCATGTTATTGATATAACAAACAGTAATGATATGAAATTATATATATATATTTATGAGATGATGGAGAAGATTTGTAGCTCAGGTGGATGAATTTGATGGAGTCTCGTTCTCTAAAGTTTGTGCTGATGATGTCGTTCAGAAGAACGATGAGAGCTTCACAACCAAACCATCCAGCTCAGAGAACAAAAGTTCATTAAGATATATGTTTACAGAAACCAGGGTATTACTCTTAAAAAGTAATCTAGTAGAAAATATATAAAAGTTGAACTTATTTATTAACTCAGTAGTTGTAAGCCCTTCAACTTTGTTTATACTAAAAATAACAAAGAAACAAGTGTTTGAGCAAAATATTGGTAGTATTAACGATAAAAGAGAAGCGTTTTATTCATATTGCTTACTACATAATCAAACAGTACTGTTTTTTTCTTTATTCAATGATTCCTTATTATACATCTTAATAATTTGTATTACAGTTAAAATGTAACATAAATGAATGAAATAAAACATAAAAAAACAAAAAAGAGACAAAAACAAAGACCAATCAAATCTTTTCTTTTATATTACGTAATAAGTTTAACAAATAGACAAAAAAAATTGGTAATTGAAATTTAATAACTTTTCCTTGTCAATCATTCAATCAGTAATTTTCAAAAAAAAAAACATTGTAGACAATAATTTCATCCTATTTGTTTATTAGTATCCTTTATAAGACAGATTGTATGTTAAAATTAGGTTTTGTGTAGCTATGTCAGATAATGATGTTGATGATGATGATGTTGTTGATGGTGATGGTGATGGTGATGGATTCTAATAAATCAAACTGTTATGATAATAAATTCCATCTTTTATAAATGTCAACCACTAATTCATCAAACTAAAATTGCTAACTAACTACATGAAATAAGAAAATATTCTGTAATTTTTTTTTCAAAAAGCAACGCTCTAAAAAGTCAGTAATATACTAACTAAAATATTCAAATTATGCATTTTATGTATGTGAAATACTATCATTATTATTATTATTATTATTATTATTATTATTATTATTATTATTATTATTATTATTACTAGGACTACTACTACTACTACTAACATCAAATGTGCTTGAATCCTAAATATTTGACAGTATGATTAAAACCGGTGACATAGCAGATCTATATTGAAATTATTTTATTGAGTATTTTTATTGCATTATCAATAGAATTCAGAAGTATTTTATCACTATTCGGAAACATAAACAAGGTAACCTGTAATAAGATTAAAACAATTAGTTGATTTTATTGAAAGTGTTATATTGAAAATAGACGTATACACATGTCTTCAATTGTTCTTGATTATTAATCTATCATACATTAATAATATAATGTATAATAACTCCGCCTGGAGCCCCTCTACGGCTACTACCTATCCCACGCCCAGATAAAGGATAAAAGTTGGGCATGGGATTAGCAATCCAATCCGATAGAAAACTAACTTATTAAAAAAAGAGCTACCCAAGAAAAAATAACTAAAACCATTTAAACTCTACCCTGGAAGTTAGAAGATCTTCAGCTAGAAGAGTTATGACGTTTCATGATGAAAGCCAAGTTTCTTCGGAAGTCACGATGCTGATGCCTCTTCTGACAACCAGAGAAACCATTAATTTAGGTACATGAAATGTTCTTATCATATTTGTGTAAATTATAGAGTTTTACATAATTTTATTTGATTTACTTAATTGAGTTTTAAAAGTTTTAAATTCACAAGTTAATCTTGACTAAAAATGAACTTGGTGATGAGAAATATTGTGAAGAAAAAGTTATTATTTGTGAACGTAGTGCAGAAAATAAATTTCTTATTTTCTTCAGATTGTGAAATCATTTAGTAACTATTATTCTGTTGTGTGTAATTATGTGAAACGTATAGGTTTCGTTACAAACTACAATACAATCAGTCAAACTGAGACTAGATTAAAGTATAATTTAAAATGTATGATGATGTCTTGAGATGAAGACAAATGTAACAATTAGTGTACAATAAATAGGCTTCAATCAATGATATTCAATAAAAACTACAAGTAACGAATATGTAAACAGCTAAAATCAATCTGTCAAATATTTCTAATAACATCAATATTTCTTTTTAGTAAAAAAAAAAGACAAAAGGCAGGTATACCTACAGTCCAATAAGTTAACTACAGTCAATATGAATTTTATTTTTTCTGTGATGACAATCAATGGAACATTGATTTAAGTTAGTGGATATCAATATATTATTCATTGACGTCCTGCCTAGAGTACCATCTCATCACTTTGTTAGTTTAATTTAAAAAATGATCGAACAACTTAACTAATGTTGACGCCTTTTCATTGTGGTAAATCTATTCATAAGAAATCTATATAATCATAATTAGATAATTAGCTACTAAATGGTTATTAACAATCTTAATTCATGTCCAAATAGATAGAGAACTAATACAAACTCTGAACAATAAATTAAATGATATACCATTATATCACACTATTTCTTGGCAGATTTCTGTTACATTCAAATATTAAAATATATCAGAGGGAGTTTTTGTGGATATTATGGTAATCTCAATAGTTGAGATCATGAGTCAATTGAATAGATGCCGGCTCAGTGGTCTAGAGATTGAGTGTTTGCGCGCAAGAACGATAGATCTTAGGTTCGAATTGGATCGTGGATCCACACTGCTAAAGAGTCCCACAATAAAATGAGACGGACATTCAGTACTTCCAGGTTTTCCATGGTGATCTAGCTTCAATTGACTCATGATCTCAACTACTGAAATTAAAAATATGTGAAATATAAAAAAAATGCTACATTAAAAGCAAACAAAAACAATGAATCTCATTAATTATATCATAACTGAAAAAGAAAATTAAGTATAAACTATTAACAGGAGCCAAAATGGGTTATTTATCATTGGAAAACAAATAAATTGTTTAAATGAATAATTTTTTTAATTTTATTTTAATTGCCAAATTAAAATAAATCGAAAGTTTTATCATATGATTAAATTTTAATCTATATTTGACAAGTATGATAGGTAAGATATTGTAAATAATTTAGTCATTATATGTTATACCATTGAGCTCATGATCTATACTCAGTAATAAGATATTAAAAAGCTAACCATGCAATATGGTATTTATAATATATTTATACATTATAAAATATAAACTAGTGAAATATACTGGTTTCTATGTATTCACTTTAACGTTTTATTTTCTACTGGATGGAGTTGACGTCCCCATACCCAACCCTCCTCCTTTACCCAGGCTCGGACTGGCAGTCATTCTAAGAGAGCTACTGTAAGACTTCATACAACGGATAAAAATGCAAAGATGTGTATGGAAGACATCTGACAAATGTATTCCAAGTAACTACAGGATTCAGACAAGACTGTTTACTCTCTCTACTCTGCTTTCTTCCGGTGGATTATGAAGACCTCTACATTAGACTTAAAGCACGGAATACATTGGACGGTTCGGCCCGTCTGACCCATACACACAAACAAATGCACATCAAGACAATTAGTGTAGCAGCAACCTCAACATCAGTAGGCCTCGAAATACACAAAAGAAAAAGAAAGACGCTCAAGTACAACACAGAGAACACCAACCCGATCTCACTTGATGGAAAAGCTTTGGAAGAGGTGGGAACATCCACGTAACTGGATAGCATCACCAATGAACAGAGAGGATCTGATGAAGATGTAAATTCAAGAATTGTGAAAGCAAGGGCTGCATTCATACGATTGAAGAACATATGGAACTCATAACAACTGTCAACCAATATCAAATTCACAACGTTCAATATGAATATCAAGAGAGTCCCACTGTATGGAGCTGAAACTTGCAGAAATATTAAAACCATCATCAAAATGGTATCAGTATTTATAAACAGTTGTCTACACAAGATACTCAATATTCGTTTACCAGATACCATCATCAACTATTGAAGAGGACAAACCGGTTTCCATCTGAAGAGGACATCAGGAAAAGACGTTTGAAGTGGATGGGACATAGATTACGAAAATCATCCAACTGCATCACGATGCAAGCACTAAGTTGGAATGCTGAAGAGAAATGGAAAAGAGGAAGACCAAAGGACGCACTATGTTGAGAATTGGAAGTAGACATGAAAAGAATAAATAGTAACTGGAAGGAAGTGGAAAGGATTGCTCAAGACAGGATTAAATGAAGTGTTTGTGGGCGGCTTATGCTCCTTGGTGAGTGATAACAGGTGTAAGTAATTAAGTAATACATTTACTTTAGGAATTTATGCGTATATTCCACTGTTGTGAATATTTGCGTAAACCTGTGAAATAAGTTTCATTTTCTCTGTGACTACAGATAAAATAAAGCTTTTTTCTGAGTTGATCAAATTTTATTGCTGACCCAATGAAATTTTTCATTTTCTTTTCTTCTTAGCTCGTCGACCATGTGTTTATTTTAGATTATTCATCTATATTATTTTAATGACTTGGTCTGGTGGATCGAACTCCAAGAACCGTATGCTTATTCTGAATAACATTTTAACACAAAGCCATATTTACTAAATAGTATGATGGAAAATTGCTCACACTATTTGATGTGGACAGCCAATCAGAAGTAGTCTAATGAGAAGGTCAGTCGATGTCAATCAGAAGTGACCTAAAAGATAAGTGAATTTCATTGGCTAACGAATGGATAAATTTCCCAAGGATTAGAGTGGTATATTTATATGAATGAGTATTCGTGCTTTTTATTCGGTAACCCATTATGATTTTTCGCTCGCTCTTATGTTCGAGTTCATGTGGTCAATTGGAGGATTAGCGCGCAATACACCCTGTATCAGTATAGGAATTTGGACACTGCCCATCACTACACTATTTCATGCCAGTTTGGCTTTAGATTTGTCAATAAATTTAAGGTTAATTGATTCGAAATAGGCATAAATTTACCAGTTAAATACTTCAGTTACCTTGATAATATAATACTTTAAGTCTCACTTGAGTTTATGTATCATGATGCAGGCATTTCCGTTTTCTAATTTAATTGAACCATCTCCTTTATCACTGATGTTATTATTGGTAATAGATAATAAAGTCCTATCAACGATAAGCGAAAATAGAAATGGTAGGAGCATATAAGTTCTGTTCAAAAATCTCGTTAGGTATAACGAACCTTTTATGTGCAACAGAGATCAATTAATGACTTTAACTGGTAACAATATTTGAATCTAACATGCTTCTAAATTGTCATATGTTATCAAATTGAAATACTTTAACTTAATAGGAACAAATATCAGAGCACTTTAGGGACACACATGATAATGTATTCTTATCCTTTATATAGTGTGACTGCACCTATCTGTTGTATTTTATACTTTATCGGAGTAGAAAAAAGAAAATTATTAGTAAATATGGTCTCATTCATCACTTATATAGACATTTCAGAGAAAAAGAGAAATTTATTATTCACTTGATATTGTTTTACTTGAATCTTCCATTGATGTTTAGGAATGAAATTGATCAGTCTCTTATTAGCATATGTGCATACTGTGCGTAGTGCCTTGATATTTCCATAATTCACAAGCATTATAAGCAAAGATGGATAGTGGGTAGTAGTGGAATCCACGACGCACATTTCGTCCCACTTGAGACTCGTCGGATGGATGTACCTGCATCCCAGAGTTGATGTTTACTCCTGAACTCCAACCAAGGACCATTCGCTTCAAACGCCATCGCGTTATCCACCTAGCTACTGAGCCCTGATAGCCACTTGCTTGTGCAATGGGGTGAAGTTTAATTCACTTGATATTGTTTTACTTGAATCTGGATTCCTGGATTCCACTGCTACCCACTATCCATCTTTGCTCAGAAATTTATTATTACTTAAAAAACTTTTTTTCAATTAAGCTTTCACCATGTTCTCTATTGTCAAGGAATCTAGTAAAACTATTTCTATTGTGTAACATAACTGTTAATGTAGAATGAAGCATTATAGAACGTCACCATGTTGTTTTCTACAGTACAGTAAATAAATAACTATCAGTTATCATCAATGAAATTCTACAACTTCATTTGTTTTGTTTGTTTTTTTAATTTCAGAAGAAAATGAAACCTAAAAATGAAAGTTTCAATACTTTTTTTCAAATGAATCTAACGTTCATTTAAAATTACATTAAGGTTAATCTAAATCTAGCTGACTATCTTCACGCTTTTTTAAAAAAAGAAAGATCTATTTCACAATTTCGATCATACAATACAGTGAAGGAATGTAGTGAATAGACAGCCAGATTTATGTGTTTATCTCAG